CCTTAAACTCTTATAGTACTTAGTAAGTCTTTCTTAGGTACTTTATAAATCAAATATTGACTGGGCACTGCCCATGTGCCAAACACTACGGGGGGGGGGGGGGGACAGTGGCACTCTCATATATACACCCTCCACCCCCAGCGCAGATGATACTAAAATTTTAGACATAGCCCCCTTTACAGAAGATGAATAGGCTCAAAAGGTTAAGTATCTTGAGTAAGACTGCCAGCTAATAAGTGGAGGAACAGAGGGCTTCTGATGCTACGTCTTATTGTGCCTTTTCTACTAAAACACAAGTTGGAAGTTGCCATATTTGTTCTTATTTCCCTTACCATGTTATCAGCAAATTAAGGGCACAAGCCATACCTCATTTATCTTGCTACCCTCTGAAGCAAGGGGCCTTTTCTCATTGGGGTCAGTCACTGTGTTTTTGTTACCTGAAAGGACGAATGCACATGTTTGCAGGCATACAGGCCTCACGAATGGTGACTGTCTGTGGGCTGGTACAATTGGAGTACTTATTTCTAAGGCAGACCATAACTTAACAAAAAGTTCTAAAAACAAATTCTGTACTTGTGAAAGATGCCACCTGGTCTGCCTCAGGGGCTGAGGTCCTCCTTTTATGCACCGAGTGGGAACAGCACAGGGAGTGATGAGCTGCTTTTCTACAAACCACTCCCCCAGACCAGCTCATGCCAAGGAAGGGCCCACACCTTTTGGGGAAGAGAACTACGCAGCCCATGAACTCTGCCGACCCTGCTGAAATTGCCAGCCGTCTGGGAGGAGAGAAAGGTAGGGCGTGCTTAGCGCCAGCCCTGATACTGTAACCTTACAATTCCTGCTTTTCGGCCAGGACGAGAAAGGGCAACTGGTTTGGAAACTAGATTCTCCTCCCTCCCCTAATATCCAACCAATGTCAGTTTTGCATAACTGACCACTAGGTTTTGTTTGCATACCTCACCATTAAAAAAAAAAAAATGAACGGCAACTAATCCAATTGACAGATTTGGGTCCCTTGGAAAACAAATGCATAGAGCCTGGAATGTGTGTATTTCATAAGTGTGCCTGTGTGAGAAGAGTAGGACGTTCTCAGAAGCGTTTACTTTGCAAGCTATATACAGGGCAGTGGGAGACCAGGAAACAGCATGCATGCAAACACCATACAGGTGTGCGGTCATGTTCCAGTGCTGCTAGGGAATCAGACAACAATCCAGGGCCTTGGGTAAACAGAGAGACTTCTGCAGTGGGACTGCAGTTCAGAGCTTCATAAACTATAATACACTGGAGAGTGTTCTACCCAATGTCTCTGACACAAGTTCCTTTTTGTGGAGGTTGTCTAACTCGGAGACATTCGGTATCCATGTCCCTAAAAATCTTTAGGGTACAACAAATTGATCCCTTTTCCTACATGTTAAGGCAAGAGTCCAAAGTAGCTTTTTCCTATTTCTGAGACTAGTTAACATAATATTCTTGCCCACTGCATGGTCAAGCCAGGATAGACAGAGATTAGCCAGACTGGAATTTGGTATCTCCCAGGCTCAAGATATCTTTCCATGCCACGGTAAAGCAGATGGTGAGAAAGTAAACCTTCACTTGTCAATTTTTACCTAATTTCGGATCAGGCTACTGGTCTCACTTTGGCCTCTGCCTGTCAAATCCACTGTGTGGGCTTGGGACTTCCTAGAAAGAGTCACAGCAGTAGCCAAAAAGAGTACAAGCCTCAGCTAGGGCAAGTGTCTGGCATAGGCTTTGGGCGGGTCCACACGGGATGCTTTTCCCATGACTCCTGAAAGAACTCTCCAAGTCTGAGTCTATAATCAATGCGTGGATAGCTAAGAGGTGACAGGATAGTGTGAAACACAGAAAAGAAATGAGAGCTTAACACATTATCAAAGACAGTACCAACCCTCTTCTCTTAGTTCTCAAAATCTTTCCTATAACCTTTGCCTTACTGAAATGGCATTACTTCTGTTCTATACCCTAAACTCTGCAAGAGTTAACCAAAGATATTAATAACTTTAGAAAATATGTAAGCCCTTAGAAAGTCAGACCACAATTTGACCACTTTCCATTTTAACCTTTCTCTAAAACCTCATTTGTACTTCTACTTAAGGATGTTAAAACTTTTGGTAGGTTTTTATTTTGTTTTTGCTTGTTTTTTAGTATTACAAATATAGTTTTACTAAGTGAATTTTTACTAAATGGCAAACATATAATAGCTCTCAATGCAGTATTTTCAAGTCTTGTGAGAACTACTCATTGACCTAGAATACTGCCAATCAGGCTATTAAAGGAATGAAAAGACTTGTTCCTTGCCCTTGAGTAGCTTGCAATGCAGTAAAAGATTTAAAAAAAAAAAAAAAAAAAAGCCCATCACTAACTAAATCTATGAGTAGCAGATTATAACAATGATGCAAACTCAGTATTATAAGAGTTCAGGGAAAGGCTAGACTAATTGTGCTCATGGAAAATCGTTGGTAGAGATGGCATTTGATTAAGGCCTTAGAAAATGTAAACTATTTCAATAGGAAGAGAGCATTGGAAAGGGCATTTTACATGGATGCAACAGCTTTAACAAGAACAAAGAAGCAGGAGAGTGCAGATGAATTAAGAAAACCTCATGTGAGAGAGTCTGGGTGAAGGACAGGCTATAGGAGGGCAAATAAAACACTGACTGGGAAAGGTGTACTGTGGCTGGTTCTTAGCAGAAAATGAATATGGAGGAAAATACAGAAAGCTAGATTTTAGAAATAGGAAGTAACATTTAAAATTTATCCCGTGCTAATCATTTTTCACATCACATCTTACTTAGATTTTTAGGGGAAGAAATATTTTATTAGTAAGCTCTTTTTGCAAACTAGATGGAATAACTTCAAGGAAAAATAACAAAGCTGGGAAAATTGTTTCTCAGAGCTGGCAAATTCTTGATTGCAGCTTAACTAATATATTCTTCTTACCCACCTCCAGGGATTATCTCATTAATGTCTCTCTTTCTGTATCACTAAAATACCTTCTTTACTCATTCCGTACGTACATAGGGAGTGGCCACTCTAGAACTAGTATTTGCTCACTTATTTACCCATCCTCTCTTTTTATGCCCCACCTGTCCTGGGGCTAACCACTCACTCATTCCCTCACTTGTTCTTATCCTATAAATTGTATCAATAATAATAACATTAACAGCTACTACTTGCTATAATACCAGGCCCTGAAATTAATTAATGCTTTATGAACAGTATTTAATATAATCCTCAAAACAACACTATGAAATAGGTATTATTATCCGTTTTACGGATGAGAAAACAAGTTCAAAGGTGTTAAATATGTTGCCAACTGGTAAGTGCAGAAAACAGGTTTAAACCAGATGTACTTGTTACAGAACCTTACCTGTTACCACTTCACTTTACTGCCTCCAATACCCTCTGACCTCTTACTGATATGGGTTAGTATTTTCAGTTAAAAATTAAACTATTAATTAAATGCCTGCTACTGTAAAATCCTGTCCTAGGTGCTGTCAGAGGTATATAAATAAAAGAGAACATGTGCATAGATTATTGATGCTCATAATCTTCCATATTTGAAACTGATATGTCTTGTATCAGTGTGTAAGACGGCATGTCCACGATTCATGAGTTACAGCAACCAAGGTCGGGGGGTGGTGAAATGGCTTAGTACGTGAATGTTGAGTGGTGACCACATCTCATAGACAGAAATCAGCCAACCCTGACTATGACTTACAGAGAATTTTAATTATACACTTCAATCAGAGTCTGTAAAAACTCTCTCTGCTGATGAAAAATCTGTCCTGTCAGTTCTCAAGCAAATCTGGTTACAATCTATTTTCAATGAACTTCAGATTCCTTTGAAGTAAAATAAGCCACTAAAGCATTTTAGCCAACAATAAATAAGCACATTGTGAGACTAGTCCTTGTAAAATTCATTACCAATGAGTAAAGTTATTTGGTTAAAACAAATGTGATACCATGTAGCCTGAATGTTGTGTAAAATTATTACAGCTATGTAGATGCAGAAAAACAATTCAAACATGTCATCTTTTTAAGCTATCTGCTTTTTTCTTCTTAAAAAAATTTTTGTTTTTCTTTATTGACTTTTAGAGAGGAAGGGAGAGGGAGAAAGAGACAGAAACAATGATGAGAGAGAACATCAACCTGCCGCCTCCTGCATGGCCCCCACTGGGGACTGGGCCCACCACCTGGGCATGTGCCCTAACCGGGAATCAAACCAGTGACCTCCTGGTGCATGGTTGATGCTCAACCACTAAACCACACTGGCCAGGCTAAGCTATCTGCTTTTAATATTAGCTTTACTAATTTCTGAACAAGTTCTGCTTAATATTTTCAGAAGACTAGTTACATTTTTACATATAACTATAATAGTTACAAGTAATAAGAAATTGGGTAGGATGTTGTTCAGTGGTCCTCTTTAAGCTATAACCATACATACCTGGGGAACATTTGGAAGGAGTCACAATTTCAGATTCAGTCTGCCTACTCATCTCTCTCTGCAAAAGTATAGTATTCACAACACAAATTACACAACCAAGACTTGTCTGAAGATTGCAGTGGCAGCCTGTCTCATGTGACTCAGTGGACTGAGTGTTGTCCCATGGATTGAGAGATCCCGGTTCGATTCCCAGTCAGGGTACAAGCCCGAGTTGTGAGCCCAATCCCCAGTAGGGAGTGTGCAGGAGGCAGCCAATTGATGTTTCTCCCTCACATTGATGTTTCTATTTCTCTCTTCCTTCCTCTCTCTAAAAAAATCAATAAAAACATATTTTAAGAAAAAAGATTGCATTAGCAAATACTAGCTGCATTTACTCTAGCAATCTAAACTTCTAATACAATTCCTTTTTAAGAAAACAAAAGTCAATGAAGAAAAATCATTTTAAGAGTTCAAAAATCATTTAAAGAATTAGCGAGACATGTTTGGTTAATATGGAGAAGCACCAGGCTACAAAAAATTAATGACATGATACTTACTGTTCAATTCGGGGTGACAAGTACAGCTTGGGATACACCTGAGTGGCTTCAGTATCCTCAAAACTGACAGAAAGGAGGGCCACATCTTCTCCAGGGTCTTCATTTACGTCCTTAAACAGAAAGTGAAAAATGATGTCATCAGCACCTGCTCTCATAACATCGTTTTGGTGCTGAGCTCACAGTCCACTGTCATTTAGGCTGGTAGGTATAAGTTACCTGGGTTTCAATTTAGCAGCCTGTACATCCTTGACCACATACCTCACCATTCCTGCAGTGATGGCTTCCAATCTTTCTGACCAAAGCCTACCATGGTGAGGAAAAGACCCTCGCCGACCTACTTGTTTCCACATTCCAAGAGGGGAAATATGAATCTGGTGATAACAAAGAACTGGACAATATATATATAGGCTTATGATTTCTGTTTTTATAAATGACTTCTAATTTACTTTTTATAGAAAGAATGAGTTATAAATTATTTATATCATAAAACAACAATAAAAAAAATTAAAATACCCAGTCATTTTATTATACCTACCTTGATAGTATGTTGCAATTTATTTAAATAGCAAAAATTCCCAAGACACATCACTCTGAAGTGTGCACCATACAAGCAAACAGCAGCGGGTTACATACACATGTACTTCAGCAAAATGATCATGGATGATTCATATATGAATCATAAGGTATGCATATCTTAAAGTCTAATTATAAGAATATTGTAACAAAAATACTGTTGATCCAAATATGTATTAAGACACACTGAGAGGTTAACCAAACAACCAATAATAAATTAAACTGATAATGATAAAGCTAAACTGTAATTTGTAATTAAAAAGCAAGAACAGCAGCAATTGAATGTCATAACCAACTCAAGCCAACAATGATACACTGAGGTGTCCTGAATCAAAACTGAGACCTACAACTGGGTGTATACTTTACAGTAACTGCTAAGTACCGAGTGTTTGCCAGACTTCTGAATAGAATACTAAATTAGAATAAATTCTAGTAACATATGACTTTAATTTGTGAATATCAAATTTTAGTAAGACTTAATAATTTATTTTTGGTGGGTAGTGGCTCCAAATCAAATATAAATTTTTTATTTTTATTTTTTTTTTTAATTTTTTTTCTTTATTGATTTTAGGGAGAGATAGTAACATCAATGAGAGAGAACATCGATTGGCCACCTCCTGCATCAATTTGGCCCACAACCTGGGCATGTGCCCTGACCAGGAATAGAACCAGCGACCTCTTGGTGCATGGGTCAATGCTCAATCACTGAGTCACACTGGCCGGGCAAATATAAATTTTTTAAAAACTTAATGGAATTGCACATCTTTCACTCACAAGGGCTAGTAAAAACCAATCTATATTCCTGGATTAGTTCATAGGTCCCAAGGAGGGCTCAGCAGCCACCCTAGACTCTAAGAATCGCTGCCCGTGAACATTGAGAACCTCAGTTATGATATCCTTCCTTCTGTCTAAAACTAACCTCACCCGTCTTTCCTGGCATCCTGGGGAGCTGTCACCACATTCATCCTTCTCAGCAATGACAAAATCAGTCTCCTTGCTCTGCCTTCTATTGTGCCCATAGGATGCACAGGTGTGGCTGGTTTACAAAGGAACAAGGACCACAGTCTCTCCCATCTTAAAAATAAAGATAAATAATACTTGTCTCTCCATAGTCCTCTGGATTTTCTCCCGTTTCTCACCTCCTCTTCACAGATTGCTTAAAAAACTGTCTACACCCCCATCTCTACTTCCTCCCCTCCCAGTTATCCCTTAGCCCAGCATATTACGCCTCTGACCCTACCAATTCATCAAGACTGCTCCCACCGAGGGCATCCACTAAACACAACAAATGCTTCTCTACACTTATTTTTACTTGCTCTCTCTAGTGGTTCTCAACCTTCCTAATGCCATGACCCTTTAATACAGTTCCTCATGTTGTGGTGACCCCCCCGACCATAAAATTATTTTCGTTGCTACTTCATAACTGTAATTTTGCTACTGTTATGTCTTAGGCGACCCCTGTAAAAGGGTCATTTGACCCCCAAAGGGGTCGCAACCCACAGGTTGAGAACCGCTGCTCTAGACAATATTTGACATAGATGATCTCACTCCTCTGGAAATCCTCTTTTCTTGCTTCTAAGAAACAATACTCTCCTGGTCTTCATCTGTTTCTTTGGCCACTTCCTCCTCCCTTTTCATTGTTATTTCTTAACTTCTCAATTATTTTTTGGTTTTACTTTATAAAATTTAGGCTTGTTGTAAAAAGTCAAATCATACAGAAGTTTATAAAGAAAAGGCTCTTCCACCCTCACTTTTTGAGGTAACCAATATTAACTGTGTATGTAGCCTCAAACAGCTTTATCTATGTTCATAAAAGCATACACACATACACACATTTGCACATAAACAGCTCTTTAACCTTTCTGTCTTGTTTTCCTTAATGCAAGCATGTTATACACACTACTCTGCCAATTGCTTTCTAAATAGCCACATAATACTCCACGGCATGGATTTATTTTTTATTAAATCATTCCCCTAGCCACAGACATTCAGGTTGTTTATAGTTCCTAGCCACTTGATAGTGCTACAGTAAATATCCAAATATATCCTTCGCTAGTGGGATTTACATTTCTTAATAAACGAGAACTTAGCTTTTGGGTCAAAGGTTGTGAGCATTTTACCTTTTAATAGAGTTTAATAGACTACTTTTCTGAAAATTTATAGCAATTCACATTTGGACCCATGAATTTTCATCAGGATGAGAGCCTGTTTCCGCTCATCCTGCATAACTAAATAATGGTGCTGTTGTCACTCTTTCTAATTTAATGTTGGCAATGTGACAGCTAGAAAATGGTGTCTCAATTTAGACTGAATAAATAAAGCTGAGCGACTTTTCACTTGGTTTACTGGTCATTTACATTTCCTCTGTACATTTTCTGATCAAATCCATTGCCCTTCTGCTTCCAGGTTCTCAGGCTTTGTTTTATTATTGCTGTTTATTAGGCTTAATAACCTTCGTCTGTTCACGTGTTATACATATTTTCTGTCAGTCTAGCTTTAACGTTTTACTTTGTTTGAAGGATCTTCTGATATCACAGGAAATTTAGATTTCTCTAGAATTAAATCTGGTCAACAAATAACTGAGATTATATAACTATTTCCCTAGTTTTTCATCTAACATTGTTATAACTGTATTTTTACATGTACATTTGAATAGCTCTGAAATATATATTTAGGTGGTATGCTACAGGAAGTGTATTAATGTTCACTTCTAACCTTTATTCTCCATACCTAGTTATTTGCAGGAACCTGCTTTACAAAAAAAAGCCAAGATTGAGAGTCTGAATCTACCTATGGCTTTCTGCTCTTTTACAGATGACAAAGTATTCATCCTTGAATATTCTTTTCTGAAAAATGAGGATGGATAATTAATTTTTTTATTTAAAAAATATGGTCTTAACAAATAGAAACTACATAATTATGTTATATGACTCAAATTCATAAAATAGCTAAGACTAAGATTGAAGCTCATCTTGAAAAAAATTCACATTTAGAGGGGCAAATGCATTTTATGAGCTAAGTTTAGAAGTTCTTTTTAGAATTAGATCGGTCATCTTAAGAAAGACAGTAAAAAAAAAATTGATTTTCAGATACCTTTCTTCAGTGGCTGAATTTCCCTGTTTAAGGTCAAGTCTCTGACTACAAGCTACAAAACATTGCTAAAAACAAACAAACAAACAAACAAACAAGACCACTGCAAAAACTAGAGGCTACTGAAAATCTTTTAAATTAGTACTTCATTCCATATGCCTATGTATAATTTATAATTATTTCTCTTTCTGACTTTTTCACTTCTCATTACTTTTTTTTTTTTAATCTTCACCTGAGAACATTTTTTCCATTGATCCTCAGATACAGTGGGAGGGAGAGACAGAGGGGAGAGAGTGAGTGAGAAACATCGATGTGAGAGAGACACATGGAATGGTTGCCTCCCACATGACCCCCACTAGGGCCGGGGACTGAACCATAACTGAGATATGTGCCCTTGACCAGAATCAAACCTGCGACTTTTTGGTCCTTGGGTTGACGCTCCAATAGCTGAGCCAAATGGGCCAGAGCTCATTTCACTACTATTTAAGTAAAAAATAGAAATGCTTAGGAACAGTCCTCTAAACAAATGATGTGACCCTGGATTCTAAAGCCAACATTTATCATGGCACCCTACAAAGAGTTCTTGAAACATTAGTCAATACAAAAATGGCTGTTTCCAGGAGATTCTTTTACAAACTATTTTAATATGACTTATTCACCTTGGAGTGGCACATGAGTTTTCCCCGAATTGGTATCTGATTCCTATTGGATACCTAAGTTTGACTTTGAGTGCTTAAATAAGCCGAAATAGTTCCAAAAATACAAATTCACACAGTGCTGTTTCCAGTGTCTGCAACTCTAACAGGCTTGTACATGTGTTCCTCCCCATCTGGGAAATTATAAAAGAAGTTCTTGTACCATGGTTCTTGGAAGCAAACATTACAGATGATTATTGTAACCACTAATGGCAGCATTTGAAAAACAGGAGGTGGTTACAGTGTAGTAGGGGACATTTAAAAATGGATAAATGTACATTTTTCAGGGCTTTCTATCTGCACCATTTGCAGCTGCAGGAGGCTAAAATAAAGGAAAAGATGCCGAATCTGCTAAAGCTAAAATATAATGTTGCTACTACCTTTATGAAAGTGTCAGGCATGAAAGTACATATAGTGAGGCACTATGGCTGTGATATATTGCTGAGATTTCACAGTGAATATGGCTCAGCACTCGACTACAGCAGAAAGGGTTCCCATGATAGGAACTCACTAGATGGTGAGTTCTCCCAGGCTGGGAGCTTTTCCTATTCATTTTTGCATCTCCAGTGTCTGGGACATTGTACACACATAGCAAATTGATTGAAATAAATTAATTAATATAAGAATGACTGTAAAAAAAAAAAAAAAAAAAGAAAGAATGACTGTAAGAATGAATAAAAGATGGGAGTTAAATAAAAAGTGCTTTCAGTTAAAAAAAAATCCCAATATTTATCTCTTTAGTTCCTTCAATC